GTCCGCTCACCGCTGCATGTGATCATGCAGAGCTGCGTGTCGACTCGTCAGCAGCAGCTGATCTCTCTCTCCCGTCAGATTAGACTTCACTCGCGTTGATGTCCATATCGATCAGATCCAGCTAGTTCTAGCTAATGATATGACTACCTGCTTATTAAAAGACACCTAAACAATAAGTGTCGCTATGCAACTGGGTGAGGCCACAAAGTATAGCGCAGCATTATGCATTTGTTTACATGCCCACCGGAACCCCGAGGCATTACCAACAGATCAACGCACAATCAACCCACACAGGACATCTCTTTCTCCACATTAAGTGTTAGACATTAGAATTGACTATTCATGTCTGTCACATACTCTTCTTGTCTGTCACATAAGTGGCGCAACTGAAGTGGTATTGGGCTAAAGGGAAATTATTTTGACCGGACATTTTGACCGAAGAGATTTAGATTTGCCGGCTAACGGGAACTCTGACGTCGCCATTTTGTGTGCTTCGCGGATGCGCTCGGCTCCTCTCGACTGCTGCTCGGTCAGCTTCCGGATGAGGGGGCATTCGTTCGACCAATTTACAGTAGATAACATTACAAACATTTTTAACAGGGGCCATAATAGTGTAAATAATGTTTGTTTTGGCAGTTATAACTGAATGTAATGTTTTCTACTTTTTTACATCTGGGAAGGCATTTGCCTTCATCAGATGGAAAGTGTCTTGATAGGCCATAAGGTGAACCCTGTTATCGTTTCAACCCGCTCCACAGAAGTGAAACTACACAATCTTTAGTTCATAAAAAAGAACGAGTCATGCTTATCCACCAAAAAAAATATCGTCGCTAAAATTCCTGCCAATTCTTCTAGGCACGTAATTATTGGCTGAACTAGTCCCTTCGAAGCGTAATAATATCTTGGTCCAAAGTCGTGCCACGGTTCGTCACGTGATCGTGCTACACCAATTGGGTAGCTGCATATTGTCAACAGAAGTGAAAGATGGCGGCCGCCATGGTTACGCTAAACCAGACCAAATGGATTCTAAACAGTGCTGTATGCTTGTTTTATGTCATGTTTTGTCATATGTCTTAATACATCACTAAGTCCGAGGTATTTGCGTTATATACGCGGTATTTGTGAGAGGTTTTACTATCTGGGAACAGAGTTGACCATCGAATCAACATTGACTAGCAGCGTTTATCAGCCAACTCCAGCTACAAACAATTTCCCCACGGGGATTAATAAAGTATATCAAACTCATATTTATCAAACTATCATTCCTGGACTGCCATGTTCACATCGCTAGGTTCATTGGGATTATTCCATTAGACTGAGGACTTTTTGTCTGTCTGTTGTTACCCTGTACACGTTAAATGCACTCTTAAAATAAACATGACTTGATTTCTGCGTCCAAGAAGAAGGTTAACTTGTTACGTTAAGTAATTTAGATCAATAAAATGCAGTACTTCCAGGCTGAAGACTTTTCTTTTTGTTGCTGCTTTTAATTGAACTATTCATATCTTAGACTGCACTGTAACTTTTATCCATGTATTTTTTCTTTTAATGTTTCTTTTATTAGCTTTTCTTTTGAATGACTGATTTTAAATGCCATTTTCTTAATGTCTTTAATTTTTTGTAAAACACTTTGAATTGCCTTGTGTTGAAAAGTGCTATATAAATAAACTTGCCTTGCCTTACTTATACCAATGTCCATTGATTCATTTATTTACTCATTCATCCCTCCACAAATGAAAACAACACTGATGAACCATAAAAACGAGATTTATTACAAATATAAAAGGTATGACATAGAAAACAGTAGAAGGACATGTAATGTAGTATAATTGATTGGTGTCAGGCTGGGCGGAGCGGCTGATTGGTGCTGTGATTGCCTCAGCTGGTTAAAAGAGTCCTGCTGATTATACTCTGTTCTAGTACCAAAAACAAACGTATCTATGAGTGATGTGTGAGCGCGTCGGCCAGGCACTAAAACCAAAAGAACAGAAAAGAGCTTAAGAAAGATGGAAAGAAGGCTCTTTTATTCCTATTCCTCACTGTCAGTGTCAGGGCAGTCATCGTTCTCTTCCTCTGTTTCTTTTTTATTTGCACAATTTGAGCAACGACATAAGTCTGTGCAACAGAGTCCTGCAGAGAAGCATGAACATCTGCCTTTCTCACAGGCAGACTCTTTGCAGCTGCAGTGTATCACATGCAACACACTGTCAGGGGCAGGATTTCTTGTCATCCAGGTGACGTGTAAGTTCCCATCCTCTATTTCCCAACCATATCCAGCAGGTGATGGAGCATTCATTTCTCTTTTGAGACAGGACCTCATTATTGCTGCCTGGTAATTTGCCCTTTTGCAGTGCTGATGGAGGGCATCATGAGTAGGGGGAATGCTTAATTCTGGCAAGGCCGATGATGCCATACAGAAAGCCTTGTACCTAGCATCATTTACATGTTCGGCTGCTGGCTGATCATACAGGTGACATACATACCGGCAAAGAAGTGCAAATGTTGATTGCTCCAAGTCAAAGTTAGTACCTAAACTTCTGAAAGCCTTAAGGTAGTCATCTTTCTCACATGCAACAGCAAATGACTTTCTTTTGCCTTTGCCATAGAAAGCGCTTGTGGAGTCACACCCAGAGAACGTGTGAATTCCAATCAAGGCTGAACACACACTGGTTCCGAGAGCTGATGACACCATGGCAATGTCAATGATCCGTGTCCTGTTGCCAGTCCCTGTGAACACATATAAGCTGCATGGCAAATCTGCCTGCAGACTTACAGCAATGACTGCCACATCAGTGTCCGAGCTCTTGATGATGACAGCTTTGTGCTCCTGTGCAGCATGTTGGGCATGTAAAAACACCCGTGTGTCACATTCCTCATGATCACACTGCAGGTCTTCAACAACATCAACAGACTGTACACCCTCCATGACAGTTACACAGTGGCATTGATTTTGATGGGCAATGTACAAGCTGAGGTTTTTACCCACTGTTGTGAGGTCTGTATGTGTCCATGCCACATAAAGGAATTCGGCCAGTGCTTCCTTATTTTTTCCGTCAGAGAGAAACTTCTTCCACTGGGTTGGAGTTCTCTGATCTGGGCTGAAGATTGTTATTAGTTGTGACCCTGCATCAGCTCTACGGGACCGTTCTAGGCTTTTGATGCTGATGGGTGGATACCGGTCAGTGACTAAATCAATGCGTGTACACTTGTGATGCAAAGCAAGTTGGAGTATGCTCTGCAGTATGGTCTCTGCAAGCTCTCCAAATGTTGCTGGTCTGGATGGCATGGCCTGCATGACTGCCATGCCATCAAAAAGAATGGCACCACCTATTGGAACTTTGTCAACCAAGCACTCTCCACCTTTGCTCTGCAATAGATCCATGAGAGCTGATTTGTTTGTTTTGTCAAGTGAACCATCAGCACTTGCTAATGGATATGACACAGTTCCCAAGGAATATGACAGAATTTCCCTCATTTCAATTTTCCTGCTCTGGCCAAGGATGAGGAGCCTGGAAAATAACTTCTTGTCAGCACGCAAAATCACTTCCTTGCCTGCTGCAGATTTTTTGGGGGGCTTTTTCTGATCACTGAGAGTCTTGAGTTTTTGTGATATTATGGGGGCAAATATGTCAACTGTTTTGGATAACAGTCTCTGCTCCATAAACTCCTTTACAGCATTTTCACCCTTTTCTGAGGCAACAAGCAAATCCTTTGTGATTTCTCCTGTTGCTACTCTTCCAGAGCTAAGACACACAATGCCGTCTTGGTGTACATCAAAAGGGTTGAGCATGGAATCAATAGTGTCCAAGATTCTACTCACAGCCTTTGCATCAGCAGAGATGCGTGTCTTGTCCAGGTCTTTTCTTGTCCGTAGCTCAGGAGATATCCCTGCCATTGATTCACACTGTCTTGCTATCGCGGCTCTTTCATGCTGTGACAGTATCCAGCGATACACTGCAGACCGATTTTGTGTGATCCCTGTCCAGCCACCTTTGGTCTTGGCATCTCTGTTAAGCGTTTGCTCAATAGCCTGGTCGCAAGCAATGGAGGCAAATCCATGAACACTTTGTCGCTGGACAGTCCACTGGCCTTTCACATTCATGTCACTGTGGCAAGAGGGATGTGTGACAGGCAGATTCATCATTTCCAGCCAGTATGCAGGTAAATATCGAGCGTAATTTACTCTATCGTAGGCAAAAAACCATGGCATCATTAACCGGACGGTTGACAGGTGAAGCTGCCAGTTTGATTCTCGCGTTGCTCTCACAAACAGGAGGAGTAGCTGCATCATGTCAATGTATGAGCTCCAGAAAGCAAATGTTGCATTCTCTGTACTCCTCCTCTGCACAAAGTCTGCATATTTCGAGCACATATTATCAAACCTCTGATCTGCACTCAAAACATCCATCAATCTGTCTGGAAAGGCACATTCCATCTCAGTGATGACATCCATGCACGCAGCTCTCTCTTGGGGTGGCAAGGAGTCCATGAAGGTGATAAACCGGATGCGCTGCAGACTCTCATATAGAAGTTTATGAGCCCTCATGCTGCGATTGTAGTGATGGCCATTGAGTACCCCATTGATGGATCCTGGGGCAACAACTTCAGATTCAATGAGGATATCTTGCAGTCCTGCATCTCCGAACCTTTTGCCTAGAATACTCAGGTAGGACATGCATGTATGGAATTCACCTAGTCTAATCACTAGACGCTTTGTAAACTCAACATCCTTCCAGCGTATTTGCTGTGCTTTGGCATATATAGCCTGGTCAAACACTAAAACTATATGATCCAGTTCTAGCTGGTCAGCAATCTGGACACTTCGCTTCAGGATAGTGTTGACTGTTGACATCTCTGTTGGTGAGGCTTCAATGACTGGAAGATAATACAATGCGGACTTCTGCAGAGTGTTTTCATCCTGAAGCAGTGTATGGAACCCTGTCCAGCTTGGGATTGTACAACTATCCGTACATGTGGACTTCACAAAAGCATATGCCATTTCAGCTTGTACAGCAAAGTGGGTGTCCATTCTGCATGTCGCTGACTGCACTGGTTGACACAAGTTCTGTGGCCCTTGCCTTTTGGACTGATGGTAAGGTTGTATAGGCATTGGGGGGGGGGGGGGCTATGAATGAGGTAACTCCCTTTCTCAGTGGCTGTCTGATTGCTGTGGACATAGGCTCGCCGGGCACACTCTGGAGCATAATTCCATTTGTATGGTGAGTAGTTCCACGACCCGATAGTGTCTCCTCACCAAAGTCAATGTTATCCCACACAAGTGTTGTGGGTGTCCGCTTTGAGAATCCCTTCGGTATTTTGTCTCTGCCTTCTACTAGTGTCAGTTGGGCAAGGCTAGTGTCTAGACTCAAAACTGTGTCCCATGATGCACAATGTCCCAGTCTGTTAAGCAGTGATACAATGCGTGATGATCCAGTTAAATGTCGAACAGTTAAACCTAAAGCCAAGGACTTGGGTGTCTGCTTGCGGCCCTTGGAAGCAAGGTACACAATGTCTTGACAAACAGACAACACTTTCAAATGTACGTCATCATCAATGTTGACATAATGATCCAGTGTTGGCTCCTCAGTGGAACCTATAATCCAGCTGAGCAGATTGTATAGTCCAATGGGGACAACAGTTTGAGATTCAGTGACATTTACATTTTCAGAAGTGGGAGGCCATGGGCATGACATGCCAGGAGTGTCACTAAGCAGTCTTTTCAAAAACAACGCTGCTGTATACAGTGTCCTTGTGTCCTCATGTGTTGTTTGGCACTTTGTTCTCCCTGTTTCATTGTCGCTGTCTGTCTGGCTCAATTCACTGGACTGTGTTGTTTCCGTACCGGATGGATCTGGTAGCATGTCCACGAGTGCATCCTTTGACAAAGTCTCAGCAAAAACTAGTTCGCAGACGTTGCGCTTGGTGGGCATGTGAAACGCTAGCTGAGGGAAATCTTGAGCCAGCCTCTTCTTCAACAGATCCTGTCTGTAACACAACAAAACAGTGACAATTACGAGTCACAGGAGTACCATCAAAAGCAGAGTGGTGGAGGTGATACAAGACATTACAGACTAGAACCTATCTGCCATACAGCACATTTAACACCAAAGAAGCCAAATAAAGGCCCACATCATCACAAACAACACTACACACTACACATCATGGGGGTTTCTCCAAACAGGCCTGTCATACACATTTTGTTTAAAGCTGGCCTTGCACATGATAAATAATAAGACTTGTATTACATTGCAGTTACCTGTAGTTTGAAGCATCAACACCTTCGTTTGCTTTCACCATGTCAATGAAGGCCTGCCTCAGCTGGCCCATTCTAAGCACCTCATTGTTGACAAGCAGCCTCTGGCGGATGATCCTCTCACAGAACAGCTTGTAACTGGCATCAAACATTGCCTCATCCCTACAACACATGAATGAGAAGTAAATAAATGGATAAATGAATAAGTGTTGTGATTGTGTGCACATATAACAGAAGGAAATTGGATGTTTACTTATAATGTTAAGTATGTGTATGTGTATATATATATATATAGCCATCGCCGACACACACCTGGACTTCAGTCTGGTGGTAGTGCAAATAGGTAAAGCAATCCAAGGAGAAATAACTTACTGTTCTGTCTCTGGTTTGTCAGGTCTCAGCAAAAACATGGTGTACTGACTGTAACAGCTTTTGTGGTACCGCACCTCCAGAGCCACACAGTCTTTGTCTTTTATATGTAAAAGAACACTTTGGTCATCTTTCTTCTCAGCAGCTTTCTGCAATTTGCCTAAACGGAAAAAAAGGACAACTCAATGAGTTTGTTGACGTATCTCTCACACATAATTGTACCTTTCAGTTATTCAACCACAGAGAATGTGTGTGTGTGTGTGTGTGTGGTGTGTGTGTAGTGTGTGTGTGGTGTGTGGGTGGGGGAGGGGGTTTGCTTACCTGCTTTTAATGTTTCAGCCTTACACAGTTGATCCCTTTGTCGCTTGCCTGCTTTGATGATCATTTTCTCCTTCATCTTGCATATAATGCACAGGGCAGGAAGGACGGGGCCAGAGCCTGCGATTGGCAGGCCTGACCTTGATCGTAGCTTCTCTGTTTGGCTTCGGTACGTGCTGCGAGACGTCGATGGGATGGGCTCGACCTCAAGGTCCTCCCTAACGTCTTGATCTCCCTCACGTGCGAGCCGTCTTTCCACCTTCGTCATGGCCTTTGTGTCGGTAAACCTTATGTAGCATGTGTGGTGGAAGCCAGCGTCCTCAGGAATATCTTCGAACTCGAAATCAAGACAGTGCTTGTGGTTTTCAGCCACCACGTTCCGAGAGTCTCCCTTCAAGCCGAGCGACCGTTGTAAGCTTGTCCTGTACGTATTCCATCTTGTATTGGTAAAACAATCAACCTTTTCGTGCTTCACAGACGTAATATGCATGTAACAATGTTTGTGTGTTGACAATTTTGACTTTTTGAGACTTTCTGGTGCGTTTTCCTCGTCTCCGCTACTCGATGAAACCATGGCGGCCGCCATCTTTCACTTCTGTTGACAATATGCAGCTACCCAATTGGTGTAGCACGATCACGTGATGAACCGTGGCACGACTTTGGACCAAGATATTATTACGCTTCGAAGGGAATAGTTCAGCCAATAATTACGTGCCTAGAAGAATTGGCAGGAATTTTAGCGACGAAATTTTTTTTGGTGGATAAGCATGAATCGTTCTTTTTTATGAACTAAAGATTGTGTAGTTTCACTTCTGTGGAGCGGGATTTCTTTTCTTTTCGAGGTTCACCTTGCGGCCTATGACCAACAACTTAAGTATTTCTTATAGCTATGCAGGGCATGCAAGCGAGCAAACACAAACAAGAACAAACAAACAAGTGAAATGAAGAATACAATTGAAATTGTACAATACAATATTGTGGTGGTTCATCTTATAATTCAGTCTAGAGAATGCACCAGACAGCATCTAAGACCTGCACAAATCTAAATGTTCTAGGGGGAGGCCCCCCAAACCCATCGTGCGTCATTTCGTCCGCGTGCATTTTTCAGGGCAATCTCTATTGGGCTCAGGGCCATCTGTAAATTAGCTTAGATGGCCCATAGGGCCATCTCCCAAAATCCTTAATGTCATGCACTGATTAAACTGTCATATTCTGCACATTTCTTATACTATCTACATACATCTTATAAGAGTATAATTCATATGTATAATATCAGTTAAAATAAGTGCTTCAACATAGTTAACATTGCAGGAAAGCAATATATTAGACGTTAAGTACTTTGTCAGGATTAACATTTATCTGTAGATACCCCAAAGCTTTTTTCTTATTCAAAAGAAGACCTTAACCTAAAGTATTCTTTAATGTTTAAATAAAGGTTCATTAGTTTTTCTGTTTTGCACATCCTCCTATTAATATGTTTGTACATCCGGGAACTAAACTGTTTTATTGTAGAGATCACTAACAGTATCTTCTTGATTTGTTATATTCTATATTTCTATCATTGACCTTATATTTCTATCATTATATTGACCTTCTACTTTCCCCTTGTATGTACTCAAATATAACATAATTTTTAAAAAAAATCAATAACGTGCTTTAACCTCTTAACCACTAGGCGGTGCACACAAGGTACACACAGCATACAATGTGTAGCTGCCCTCGGCAATAATCACAGCAGAGTCTCGACGGATGCAGTTTCTTTAATGGTCTTTCAATCATCGTGAAAACTCAAATATATACAGACATAGAACAAGTACAAGTCATTGATTAAATCACAAATATATATTCACGGATCAAACAAACACTTGTAATACAGTCCCTGTAACGTACCTCGCTCCGCTCACCGAGGGTGCAATATGTGCGACGTCAGGCCTGGCAGTCCTTATCTTAATATATCACTTGGCACTATGAACAGTTGAGCCAAGGAACAACACACACAGTTTCAATTAAAACCTATATAAACCGATTATATAACACAATATTCGTGGCAATTCAGTAACTTACGTGTATGTTTGAGAGGTCCGTAGCACAGGCTAGACCTCGTTGCCTGGCAATAGTTTAAATCAGTTATGATTCCGGGGTTCGCAGCGTCACACCCATACCTACGCCCGCCCCTAACCATGCATATTAAATAACGTAGCGGTCAGTTACACTCCCACCATATCCTGTCCTGATGAACAAACTTAACGAGGTAAACAAACTGGGTGAATCATACAGGATTTCTAGACCGTCAAAAAACAAAACACACTTAAAGGTATGGTGGTTCACACACAAATAAGCTTTGTCGCCTTAGCAAACATGTTTATTAGTATGTCTGATGCAAGTGTATTTTAGCCAATTATTCACCTTCAATGAGTAAAACTAGCTTCTGAATGGGACGTTCTATGATCGAGGGTTTGGAGGTGTAATCTTGTTTCTTTGTTGATTTCCGATCTCCAACTTGCACCTTGACTCGACGAACCAAACCATCGGTCCCTTCAGTTGTCTCGACCACTCGCCCTAGCTGCCACTGATTCCTTGGAAGCATGTCTTCCTTGATTATGACTATGTCATTAACCTTCAGGTTGCGCCGGGGTATGTGCCACTTTTGTCTTAAGGAAACGTTCTGGAGGTATTCTTTCTTCCACCGACTCCAGAACTGTTCGGTCAGGTATTGCACTCAGACTGACAGAAGGCAACGGCGGGTTGGTGGCTGGTCCTTTGGTTCGATGTTGAAGCTGAACATGTCGTTTTCCATTGACCACTGAATGCCAAGAATGTGTCCTTCTGTTGTTGCATCTGGGTTAAGATTGAGAGGGTCAGTGGTTACTGCTCTTTCTAAGGGGGCTATGCAGGACAGTGCTTCCTTTTGATTTGAGTTGAACTTGTGAAGACGTAAGCCTGCATTTTTGCACAGTTCCTGCGCTTGGACTATCAGTCCTTTTGCCTCTTCGACTGATGGAACACTGGTTAGCCCATCGTCCACGTAAAAGTTATTCTCGATGAAAGCTGATGCTAACGGGTAGTCACTTTTGTGGTGCTGAGCCAGGTATTTAAGTCCAAAGTTGGCGCATCCAGGGGATGAGGAGGCACCAAAGAGGTGGACTGTCATTCTATACTCTTGCGGTTCTGTTTCCAGCTGTCCGCCCTCCCACCAAAGGAACCTCAGGTAATTGCGGGCTTCAGGTGAGACGTGGAATTGGTGAAACATCCTTTCGATGTCACAGATCACTGCCACTGCTTCCCTTCTAAAGCGACAAAGGACTCCCACCAGTGAGTTGATTAGGTCGGGACCTGTGAGTAGAGTATCGTTTAGAGAGATACCGCTAAACTTTGCTGAACAGTCGAAAACAACTCTTAGTTTGCCTGGCTTCTTGGGGTGGTATACCCCGTGATGAGGAATGTACCAAACTGTCTCTCCTTCGGGAGCTGTGGACGCTAGCTCTGCATCGCCTTTGCTAATTATTTCTTTCATGAAGGCAGTATAATGATCGTAATAGTTTTTGTTGGCTTTTAACCTTTTCTTAAGGTGTTGCAGCCGGATAGTCGCCAGCTTCTTATTGTTTGGTAGTGATGGTGGACTAATGTCCTTGAAAGGAAGAGGCATCTCGTAGTGTCCGTCTTCCTTCTGCCTAATGTTGTCACTAAGGAGTTGCATGAAGCGAACATCATCTTGGGACACATACTTGTCTTCGTAGCATTTTTCATTGAAGTCTGATTCCAAGACTTTCAGCACGTCGGTGGCTGATGGTGTTGGCATCTCTTTCACTGTGACTCGATGTACGAAGCTTTGGTGTCCCTGTCTATCCAAATGGGGATTGGCTGAGCCAATGATGCTCCATCCAAGCACGGTTCTTTGTGCGAAAGGTTCGTTTTTGCCTCCTGTGACAACTTCCAAGGGAGCCAACGCTGATGGGCAGTCATAACCAATTAGCAATCCTACCTCGCAGTCTTGAAGTGGTGGTAGCCTGTTTGCTAAGTGTTTGAGATGAGGCCATTGGAGTGCTGTTCTTTTAGTGGGGATATGAGACCTTTCAACTGGTATGTAGTCTCGTGTGTAGGTCTGCTGTAGTTTGCATTAGGCTTCAGAGTTGAGTCCCCGAACTTGAAGACCACTGGCAGTCTTACTTGCAATGACTGTGTTAGCCGCTGTCATTGTACTGAGTTTCAGCTGCACTGGTTGAGTGTCCACGTCTAGTTCAGTAACTAAATCTTCCAAAATGAAAGTTGAATCACTTTGTGTGTCCAGTAGGGCATAAGTGAGAATTTCTCTATCTGGATCCATTGTTGACGACACCAGAACTGGAACAATGCTAGAGGTGGCAGAAGTATGCTGTGTCAGTGCATGGGACATCACTTTGTAGATCTCCTTACTAGTATGTTCTCCTGTGGCAGCAGAATATTTGCCTGATGTCTCTGCAGGTCTTTTGTCTGTTTCTATGTGTAAGCAGGTTGGGTGACGTCGACTGCATGTGCTGCAGGTGTGTCGCCTTTTGCAGTCTTTGGAAATGTGCCCCTTTCCTAGGCACCCGAAGCAAAGGTTATTTTCGTGAATCAAAGTTTTCTTCTCGTCTGTAGTCTTTGCTGTAAAGGTTGGGCACCTTGCAATACCATGTGTTTCATCCTTACAAACTAAACAAGGTGGCCATGGTTTTGAGTTTGAAGTTACAAATGTCTCTGAGGTGGGTTCATTCATTTCAGTACTGGTGTTGAGTGCTTTCGTTCTCCTGAGAAACCTCTCATCTGTGGTCTTGGTG